GCCATCGGATCAGCGCGGTGCGCTAGCCGGTCATTGGAGGGTGAACCAACGGCAAAAGAAGACCTTTCTCTCTGTCTCTCTCTCTCACTGTCCACTCTGCCTGTCAAAAAGAAAAATGCTTTATTTATTTGAAGCGAGGGGGCAGAGAAAGAGGGAGATAGTGAGATTGAGCTCACTCTTCCATCTTCTGGTTCACACCCCAGATGGCCTCAGCAGCCAGGACAGGGCCAGGCCAAAGCCAGGAGCTTCATCCAGGTGTCCCACATGGGTAGCAGAGGCCCAGACACTTGGGCCATCTTCCACTGCTTTTCCCAGGCACATTAGCTGGGAGCTGAATCCGAAGTGGAGCAGCTGCGACTTGAACCGGCACCCATATGGGATAGTGACATTGTGGGTAGCAGCTTAACTCACTGTGCCACAATACCAGCCCCATCTTGAAATTTAACGCTTTAATTTGAAGTTGTGTTTTAAAACTTAAAATTGGGGGTTGGCATTGTGCTGCGGCAGGCTAAGCGGCTGCTTGTGATGCTGGCATCCCATATCAGAGTGCCAATTGGAGTTCCAGTTGCTCTCCTGTCAATCCAGCTCCCACCTAATACATGCCTGGGAAGGCAGCAGAGCAGGGCCACAGTACGTGGGATCCTGCCACTCATATGGGAGACCAGGATGGAGTTCCTGGCTTCTGGCTTTAGCCTGGCCCCAAACTAGCTTTGGAAATTTTGGGGGAGTGGAGCAGCAGATGGGAGATCTCTGTCTCTCTCTTTCTCTCTCTTTTTGCTCTGCCTTCCAAACAAGGAAATCTTCTAAAAAAATTAAAATTAGACCATTACTCCTTCTCAGAAACACAGGATTTCTCAAAGTGGCAGACACCAGCAGGTGCCTGTCTGTGTGTTACAGCAGGACTTGGGTGGCAAAGTCGTCATCTGGGTTAAACAACAGCCACTCGGTCCCTGCAGCTGTGCACACCGTAGCACTGTTACCACCTTCCTTAATGTCTGAGACCCAGTGTACATTTTACTGCTTTTAACATTTTAACACAAGGTTCCATTCTAAAAACAACCCCCAAAATAAATACTAGTAACCATATTATGTTTTAAGCACCATAATAAAGTGAACATGGAAAGCCAGATGAATCTAAAAATAAATTTTAGAAATGAATGCCTTTTATTCTAAAAGTTTTCAAGTACATAGGTGCAGCAGGGACAATGCTTAACACAGGGACAGCAAAACAAGACAAGTCACTCGCTCCCTAAAATAAAGCTGAGAAAGCAACAGAATTTCACCCCAAACAAGAAATCTCTAGAAAATAAGGGCTCTAGCATGAAAAAGGTAAAGGTGAAGGTTGTGTCTGGGCTTTGCTCAGTGTGGAGAGCACTGAGTTTGCAGAGATAGCTGAAGTTCAGCTGGGGTGTCCCCGATGGGGTGGATCGATTTCCTTGCAGTAAGTATTTTTTTGTGTGTGATGTTAGGGAAGTCATGAAAGGCCAGATGCTGTGTGGTCCCAGCCTTGCATAACTGGGAATTGTTGGACTCTGGAGCCCCTGTGATGCCTGGAGGATGCCCTCTGGGATTCTATGTGCAGGCCTGCCTTTGTTTTTGTCAGTCTGCAAAACCTGAATTGAAAATTCTTCTCTAGCCAGTGATCCCCTTGATCATCACCCTTCATCTCCTGATGATTAACCTCACTGAGGGCAAGGGATGGTGTTAAGTACAGAAGCCCTGGCATCGCAATGAGCTAGTTTGGCAGGTGACCCATCTGAGACACTGCCATCCTGGGAGTATGGAAGAGGCCAGATAACACCTAGACAATTGAGTCTCCCTGTCTGTGAGTTCCACATCCAACTGTAGATCAAAAAAAAAAAAAAAATGAAACTGAAAGAAACCATGTCTGTATTGAACATGTATGGATGGTTTGTCTCATCATTGTCCCATAAGCAATCCAGTGTGACAACTCCTTTCACCTGGCATTTACATTGTATTAGGTATCGCCAGTGACTCGGGCATGATTTAAACTGTGTAGGAGGATGCGTGTAGGTTGTATGCAAATGCTGCACCATTCGGGGGGGGGGGGCACTTCGATTACGGCACCTGCTGCATGTCCTGGACCAATCCCCCAGCATCCTGGGGACAGCTGCACAGCTGCTGCACATCCCTTTCTCAGGCCAGTTTTGGTTCAAATTGGGCATATTCCTGAATTTTCAGCTTAAAGAAAGGAGATCTCATTACGGTATTTGTTAGCCCTGTTTTTATAGGATCTTATTATTTATTTGCTTATTTCTTTCTGTGTTGGGATCAGTTGTACTTTTGGTTTCTTGTTTTTTTAGCAGCCAAAGCTCTACTATGAAGAATAGAAAAGGAGAGAGGAAGGGAGGGAGGGAGGGAGGGAGGGAGGGAGGGAGACTTCTCTCCCCCCACCAAAAGCCACTATTTTTCCAAAAGCTTTCCATAAGTAGTGTTTCCACCAAAATGATTATTATTGGGTATTAATGCATCATGTTCATTATTAATTTTCAAAATATAGTTTGTTCTGCAGGCTGGTAGAATAGGGATGTTCTTGAATTTTTGTTAATTTAGAAGCCAACTTGAGGTTTAGCCTGTGATTTCCCTGTTCTGAGTCCAGCCTGACCGTAGAATCTGTGCTTAAAGAAGAGTGTCAGGTAGTTGCCACCCAAGGCCAGGGCAGTCTGGAGGCGCTCCTCGGTCCCACTGGGGAAGGAGTGTGTTTCTCTCCTAGTCCAGGGCTGGTGCTCAGCCGCCCAGGGCCAGGCCTGCAGAGTGTCTGTCATCCCCTTCCCTGGACACGTGGCTCCTGTTAGCCGCCATCACCTAGGAGACACACGGTGTGATGAAAATGACCGTGTTCTGTTGGTGGCCACAGCACTTACCTGAAGAGTGTCATAACACAGATAATGTGTGTGAAAGAACTAAAAAGCTGAGTGATCCTTCCGCTAAGAAAACCGAAAACGAAATCCCAGCCTCATCTGACGCAGCCACTGCCACACATAAATGCCAGCTTCGGCATTTCTCACATTTATTGTCAAGTGGTGGACATAGTTCCGTGTCTTACTTAGAAGAGTGAGAATCTGAGCACAGGAACTGTGGTGTTAACTGTGGTCATCGGCCAGCCCTGCCGAGGTGGACACTCGTTTCCAGCACCTCTTGGAGGCTGACAGAGAAGGAAGCCGCCTAATCTCTCTGGATCCTGGCCACAGCCAGGTGCACTTGACAGGACAAGCGCAGGTTGAGCAGCCTGAATCCAAAAAATCGGAAACCCAAAATGCTGTAAAACTTTCTCAGCTATTGACGTGATGCCACAAGTGGAAAATTCCATACCTGAGCTCATGCGATGGTTCACAGTCAAAACGCAGGTGCACTGAAAATACTACATGACGTCACCTTCGGCTGTGTGTACATGAACATAAATAAATTTTGTGTTTGGACTTGGACCCCATTCCCAAGATACCTCATAATGGATATAGATTTTTCACATTTTTTTTAAAATCCCAAAACACTTCTCTAATTCCAAGTTTTACAGATGAGAGTGACTCAACTTGTATTTACAATTTATGATCACCATTACTTCATAAACAAGGAAAGAGAACATTGGAGATAGTAAATGACTTTGTATTATTTTATCCACTGTGTTGGGATTTTTAGGAGTCACAACACAGTGTAAGATATGACCCCTTCCCCTGGAGTTTATAATCTCATAGGGATTGTACAAATTATAATCTAATAGTGCTCAAATACGAAAAGAGAACTCAAAGCACCAAACAAATTGCTCATTTATTAATGGAGAATGGAGGGCCTAGGGCTCAGGGACCTAGCAGTGTCACCTCCACAGCGAAGCTGTGATAAGGAAGACTAGAGAAGCAACTTAAGTTGGGGTAACACGAAGGAAAAGTGAAAAACAATTGGGGGTAGTAGAAGACCATATGGACAACTGACAAACACCACAGCCTTTCCTGATGGTGCCTTGTGAGAGAGCATATTGAGGACCCCAACCGGAAATCTCTGGAAGCCGTTGAGCGAGGCCAACGTGCATGGTGGTGGGGAGACCATCAGCAAGGGAGAAAGCCCAGGAAAGTTTATTTCTATTCACTGATGTTAGCAAGGAAATGAAAATATTGTTTACGAACTTTTGAGTTTAATATAAATTAAGCTTTTTTATGATCTGTAATTTTGTTTTTAATTCTGCTAAGTCTTGTGATCACATAATTTAGAAATTTTGTGCCGATGCTGTATCTCTGCAACCTTAGTCCTTGTAATGAGTTGGCAAAAACACCGTTACTAAACCAAAATATAGAGTAGTTCCCAATTTTATGTGTTTCCAAATGGCTTCTTATAGGCCATCCTGAATTATAACTTAGTCTAAGGTAGGGAAGAATTCAACAATGAAGCTTAACGTGTCACTCTGCCTGGTCATGCTGAGTTTCAAAGCACCTGGCCTTAAAGATCATCTATAAAATGTGAGAAGTGTTAAATATTCTTTACTCGATATACATAAACCACACTAAAACACCTTTCAGTAAGTAAAAGGCAGCAGTTTGCATACAGGAAGTTCTTATTAGGTCGTTGTAGTTAAGACCAGACATTTCTACCTGTCAGTTGTTGCCTTTAGAAGAACACCAGTCAGAACACAAGTAAGGTTCTGAGACAATGAAGAGATTTTCCCAGTGTTTAAATATAAATCCAGTCTCCCAACAGGTTTTGAGATGGCATTCCCCATTTGTGCAAAAAGTTAAACATGACTAGTTGAGTCTAGTCATACATAGCCTTAGAATACTGACTCTGTTGCTGAACTGGAATTACTACCAAAATGTCAATGAACACAGCTGTATTTATTTAATCACACAGGCGATCTTAGTTAACTCAGGACTGTCAGTCCTGTCAGCCATTCGTGATCTGGATTCTGGAATATGAGCATTAAGTTATGGTGTACATAAAGCCACAAGACGTTCCTCTTTTGTAATAAATAAGGCAGTGCCAGCTATTACTCATTAGTAGTCCTCTTTGAGATAAGCCATCAAGTCTGCCCTTTCATTCCTTTTCTTAATTCCAATGAAAATAAATTTGGTTCCAGGGATGTATTTCTTGAGATTCTCCAAATACTCTATCAGAATGTCCCCCTCCCAGGTGATGGCTTTGTTCCTGTTGCCATCTGTGTAAGAGAATCCAACAGCCTGACCTGTCTTCCACCCAAACAGGCCATGGAGATTCTGCCCAGACCTGGGCTTGCCCCCCTTTCTCACAGTGTGGCACTGGACACATTTCTGAGCAGAAATCTCGCCTTTCTCAGCATCACTCATTTTTAATTTGCTCTTTAGTCACGCACACTACTAAAGTCCACACTGGCAAGACGGACATCGCACTCTAAAGAATTAAGCGTTTTCTGTTAGCAAACTAAATATACTTTGCAGATCTTCATAGCTGCACATTTTGAACTCTAACATTAGACTTCAGGCTAAAATTCGATTTTTGTTTCTTCTCTCCTTTAATAGCAGGGAGCTACACTGGTGAACGGGTACCTTAAATCTAAGCCAGGTTAATGTAGTGATATCAGAATAAACAGGCAGCTGTGTAGAGGGAGAAGGGTGCTGTACAAAATGCACCCATCAGCAGACTGTGCATTCTTGGGGATCACGGTCAGTCTTGCTGTTCAGTAGATGTGAAAAGGCAAACTGGCCCGTGTGCCTCTTGGCCTCCTACAAGTCGGTGTATAAAGGATAGAGAAAAAGTCAGACTGATAATGAAATGGAATATTTGATGCCTATATCATTGAGCCATCTGTTCTTTCGTTTTAGGAGAAAAGTGAGTCTTTACTATAAAGGCAGTCAGCATTTTATGCCTATGCTAGGAATAAAAACTCACTCTGCAGTCTGTCCCTTGGGTGGTTAGACATTTGTTTAGGGAGATGAGACAGGTGAAGCTGTAGATTCCTAATCCTATCACGTGGAGTATTTAAAAGGCTCAGAAACCCAAGCTCAAAACGGAAGGCCTCTCAGTGCTGGGGAAGTAGGATGTGGCCCCATCCCTGAGTGACAAGAAAATAAAAGGGCAAGAAGCAGAGCAGAGAAGTGCAGGCGGTGGAAGGGGAGAGCGGAAGGGCAGGGGTGGAAGGGGAGAGTGGAAGGGCAGGGGTGGAAGGGGAGAGTGGAAGTGCAGGGGTGGAAGGGGAGAGCAGAAGGGCAGGTGGTAGCTGGCTAGACTTTGGAGTAACTGAGCCTGAGCGTTGCATTTCTCCTCTATGTGACCCAGGAAGCTACTCATAGATGAGCAGTTGGTACAGTGCTCCTCTCACTCACTGTTCCCTTCTGCCATTTCAGCTGCCTGCAGTCCACCATGATTTGGAAATAATACTAACTTGAAAATTCCAGCAGCAAACAATTCATAAACTTTAAATGGCATGTCATTCTGAATAGCATGGTGAAATCTCACAATATTCTGCTTCCTCTTGCCTGGGACACGAAACGTCCCTTTGTCCGGTATCATGTTGCGTGTGCTACCTGCCTGTTAGTTCATAGCCATCTCAGATGTCAGACAAACTGAGGCGTGTTGCAGCACTTGTGTTCAAGGAACTCTTATTTATTTAGCAATGGCTCCAAAGCACAAGAGAAGTAATGCTGGCAGTTCGGATTTGCCAAAGAGAAGCTATAAAGTGCTTGCTTTAAGTGGAAAGGTGAAAGTTTATCTTTGGTATGTGTATGTAGGGAAAAATACTATTCCTTATTATTATTATTATTCACAGTTTCAGGCATGTGGCAGGGATCTTGGAACATATCCTCTGCAGACAGAGGGGTCTTTTGTGAATAGAACAAAGCAGTGACCAAGGGATGGTTTAGATGGGAAGACCAGGAGCATGGACTAGGATTGGGATAGTGTATGCAGTGGGGTAGGATCAGTGTCCTTCAATTAAACCACTTTCTTTCTCTGTAAAGAAAATCGTGTAAGGCAAACTAGTAAAATTTTAGGAGGAATGATAGATTCTATCTTTGCCTACACTTTAAATAAGTACCAGAAATAAAGTTACAAGTTAAATACTTTTATCAAGTCTCATCTCGCTGACTGCTGTTACTTTGTCAAAGGTTTATTACCATGAGAAAACTTCAAGACATTTTCTCCACTATAAAGTACAAATCATCCTTAGGAATCCTAGTGATCTATGTTTTAGTAATACATCATTTGTATTAACACTTAGCAGCTTAATTACAGATTGCGTTTACATGATGATTTGTTATGAAAACACTTCTCCACGTACTCTTTCATTAACAAATGCAGCTTGGGGAGAAATTGTATTTCTCATTTTAGAGGTAAGAATTCAGAAATCCAGCTTGGTATCAATCAGTTCTTCTTTTGAATATTTAAATGTGAAGAGAGTTATGCTATCTTCTTTGTATATTATCTCATTTAATCTTCATGATTAAACCATGGTTTAGTTAACACCCCATCTCCTCTGGCCTTAAGATACCAGAAGCTGAGATCTTATTGATTCTAAAATACACAGCTGGACAAATCTAAAATTTACTGAGTACAAGGTTTACCCACGCTCACTAAGCTACTGACAGAAGAGGAAGCAGAAATAGTTTATTTGCACTTGATTTTTCCGTGCAACCCTAATGTGGAATTTCAATGTAATGGATACTCAGTCTTATAAAGCCATTGCAAATTATCAATTGCATGTTATTTTGTAATTGCATAACATATTTTGTATTTCATTATATTATACAAATGAGCTAAGATAGTTTATCCTGATAATTCTTGTGTTTTTGGAAATTCTCAAGGACTTGAATGTTTTGAGCAAATATAATGCCTTTATTATTCCTTTGTGTGTTTAGTAGGATAAATGGGAAAATTACATGGAAATGCTTAGCTACACTTAAGCCAATATTAGCAAGCAAGTTGGCATTGAAACATGAGTGTTCAGTTCAATTCAACTTGTTTATGTGGAGTACTTACCTTGTAAGATGTTCCCTTCTACACAAAGATAAGTAGACACTAACCCTCTTTAGGGATTCATAGTCCTTCTTTGGGGGATTATATTTAGTAAGTCCAAGTGCTCTTGAAAAGGATTATAAGGAGTCCTGTTTAGGGATTATGTTTAATAAAACTGAATGCTCTTGAAGGAGATGATTAAGATTCCTAAGTGTGATCTTTATTCATCACTAAGGAAAAGACGTCAGAGAAAGGATGTAGATTGAGTTGTATACTCATGAAACGATGACATGAAACCATAAAAAAGTTACTGAGAAAGAAGAAAAAAAAAACAGATATTTTTGAGACACATTGTCAGGGGACTGTCATATTGAAATAGAAGGAGAATTTGAAAAAGCCTCAAGACCTACATGGTGTTTGGGGTGAGGCTTGATGGATAAAGAAGAATCCAAATCCATGTAGGGGAAGGGCATTCATACACCAAGAGAAGAGATGAGAAGAAGCAAGTAGAGTACTTGTAAAGCAGTAAAAAGGGATGATGTTGAAAAGTAGACCCTTGTTGAAAAATGCCCCAAGTACTGGAAAACCACTGGTTTCATCATAGCTTTCCCAATTAAAGACAGATTCCTCTCTGGATACAAACATGGAAGTCCTACCTGAGAGCCTCCTCAAAAGGGCCAGTGAGACACTGGCAGATAGGAGCAGAGAGAGACGTAAAAGGCCACTGAATCTTTGTTTGCTTTCCTGGAAAGAACCTTGGTAGCTGCACAATGAAGAAAAGATCCCTTGAATGCATGTGTCCCACCTACTGCATGTGGTGCCTTTGTCATGATGGGGGAGAGGCAATGCAGGATCTGAAATCCTTCTCCGGTGGCTTTCAGCTCACCCCCTGCCCCTACCCTTGGCGCCCAGGTTGGCTCAGCCCCATCTGAGGTTCTGCTGGAGGAAGGAGAGTGACCCAAGGAAAGAAGGCATGAGACCACCCTTAGGAAACACTTCCATTTCCAAAACCCAACAGAGCCCTTTGCAATCCCTTTTAAATCCCCAACCACCTACTAAAGGGGGTCAGACCATAGCCTCCTAGCAAAGTGAGATAATCCCTCTGAAAATGGACCAACTCCTGCCTCTACTCATGCTTAGATTTCAAAGTGCAAATAAACCAAGAAGTAGTGTTTTGAACCTATTTTTAGGCTCCAAGTTGGCTTCCTGATCACTAGGAATCTGTTTAATTTCAAAATCCTTTGTGTGTGTTTTTAAGATTTATTTTATTTTGAAAGAGTTACAGAGATAGATGGCCAGGGTAGAGCCAGCCTGAAGCCAAGAACCAGGAACTTCATCTGGGTCTCCCATGTGGGTGACAGGGACCCAAACTCTTGAGCCATCTTCCGCTGCTTTCCCAGGCCATTAGCAGGGTGCTGGATCTAAAGTAGAGCAGCAGCAATGCAAACCAGTACCCATAAGCGATGCTAGCATTGCAGGCGGTGGCTCTACCCACTACATCACAGCACTGGCCCCTTGTCGTCATTTCTTGATTGCAACTATCTTTCAGGAGCTGAAACTGAAGGAGAGTAATAGAAGTGAACAAATCAACTCCTCCTTGCCTCTCTCCAGCTTAGGGAAAGTGTAGGTCATCAGGCATGTGACTAATTATTGCATGTTGAACTCAGGCTGTGTTCTTAATACTGGGTTATGAAAATGACACCATTCTCTTTCCTCATTTCATATGTGTGATTTGTTTCCTAATTTCTTCATGGGTGACCAAAATGGTGTGTGGAATTGATTGGAAACTCATTCTTTATCTCTAATGGTATAAATAACTCTGATACAGACTCCTAACATCCAAAGCACTTTGTGCATTTCTTCAGGGACACCCTGTGAATTTTGTAGGGTCAAATCCAAGTTCCTTTGAACAGCATTTTCCATAGAATTGTCACTACTGGCTTGTCCCTTTACTCACTGGCTTAAATGAAGTGAAAATAGGCCGGCCTTGTAGATTATTTCAAGGTAGAAAGGGAACATGGGGGTAGCCATGGAACCAAGGGTTGGTAAAATTAGGAAAATAAATCATAAAAGTGGGTTTCATGTCTTTTTTTTATATAAAAATTTTCCTTTCCTCCCTTACTCGTTCCTTACCCTTTTCATGCCTAATCACGATGTACTTGCACAGCTGCTTTATGTTTCTGACTTTGATGTAGAGCAACCCCCAAAACTGGAGGACTTGCTGTTGAATCCCCACCCCCAACACAGTCCACTCTCCTGGCTCTCAGAAAACCAATCACTGACATCGGGGTGGTGGAAGAAAGGAAGCATTTGTTGCAGTGCCCAGAGCAAGGAGCCAGTCAGCAGTGCCCTAATTCCCTGGCTCCCCACATGGCCAGAGTGAGGTCCTTACAGACTGAAGGCGAGCCGGCGCCGCGGTTCACTAGGCTAATCCTCCGCCTGTGGTGCTGGCACCCCATGTTCTAGTCCTGGTTGGGGCACCGGATTCTGTCCCAATTGCTCCTCTTCCAGTCCAGCTCTCTGCTGTGGCCTGGGAGGGCAGTGGAGGATGGCCTAAGAGCTTGGGCCCTGCACCCACATGGGAAACCAGGAAAAGTACCTGGCTTCTGGCTTCGGATCAGTGTGGTGCACCAGCCGCAGTGTGCCGGCCGCAGTGGCCACTGCGGGGGTGAACCAATGGCAAACAAACAAACAAACAAACAAAAAATACCAGATTGAAGGTGGGGCCAGGAGGTGTGTGTTCAGCTCTCCTCCAGGTCCCTGGTTGGTCTGCAGTGCTCATGGCCCTCCTTCTGTTGGTCAGCAATGTCGTGTCGCTTAGGGAATGTTAATGATGGCCAAGTGAGCTCCAGTCTAGGTGTTACATGCAGGTGTTCAGGGTCAAACCCCTTGAAACAAGACAGAACATGGAGATGTCCTCTAGAGGGGAAATGAATGACCTCCAGTGTCCAGTGATTGGAATCTTTAGGGCTAGTGATTAAGGACCTCCAAGGGCCAGCCACACCTGTCCCTTCATTCAGTGGGTTGCTTTTAGCATGGGACCTGATGGTATTTAGCATCTGCATTCAAGGCACTGAGCAGGGGCTCAGTGATAATTCACAGTGGTCTCTGTGTCACAGTATTGTTTGTTTTTATCCTCTTCCCCGCTTTAGGAGATGACCTGGCTTCCACCACTTTCTGCTATTCAAGCACCTGGCAAAGTGGAACCAAGCAAATTTCCATTTCCAAATAAGGTGAGCTCCTGCAGCACTCAGGGGAGTACACTGTGCTCGTGTAGACATTTGTAGTGGACAGTGAGTTGACCATGAACTTTCCTTGCCTCTGCCCATAGTCCTAGCAGAGGCACATGAATTGGATCTGCAACAATTGCAAGCAAGTATTCATTCATCAAAGCAGGAGATCCGAGCCTGCAGTCTTGCTTCCTATCCTTCCATCCTCCTGGGCAAATTTTGATACTTACTATAATCATTGTAGCGAAATACATTTGTGAAGTTGAAATGCACCTTGCAATCCTTGTTTACATTCAGTGTTTCCTGAAAAACTTATTAAATGAATGGTATATGATAAAACTCAATGTCTTGGAAATGAAGACATGTAGTATTTAATTTCTCTTGGATATCCATTTTAAAGCTTAAAATATTTTCTAGATATTTTTAATATTTTAGAAAATATTAAAAAAATTTCTGTATTTTCTAAGGAAAAGCACACTAGAAAATCAGCCACAAACTGTGTTTCATTTATATACAAACCTAGTAAGCTTTCTTTTAATTTCTTTTTAATCCTACAACTGACACATAATAGCATACTCATTATAAAAGATCAGGGCCGGCGCCACGGCTCAATAGGCTAATCCTCTGCCTGCGGCGCTGGCACCTCGGGTTCTAGTTCTGGTCGGGGCGCCAGGTTCTAGTCCCGGTTGCCCCTCTTCCAGTCCAGCTCTCTGCTGTGGCCCAGGAGTGCAGTGGAGGATGGCCCAGGTCCTTGGGCCCTGCACCCGTATGGGAGACCAGGAGAAGCACCTGGCTCCTGGCTTCGGATCAGCGTGGCGCGCCGGCTGCAGCGGCCATTGTGGGGTGAACCAATGGAAAAGGAAGACCTTTCTCTCTGTCTCTCTCTCTCACTGTCTACTCTGCCTGTCAAAAAAAAAAAAAAAAATCAGATTATGCAGATAGAAAGATAGCAAAATGTGAAGTCTGTGATATTCCCAGGCCAGAGTTTATTTCCCTACCCCGTGGTTACTATCAAGCTTTGATGTGTACCATTTCAGTCATTTTTCCTGGGCATTATGGAGAGATATGTGTATATTCAGCTTTCTAGATTTCCAAGCTCAGTTATTAAAATAATCACTTGTGACTGGTATCTCAGTGATAAATTCCATTCTAAAAGTTGATTTTGATTTCCCTTAACAAAATGTGTTTGGAGTGATTTTCTCTATCCTTTTCAATAGCAGGACAATATTTTATGGTATGGATTTACCATAATATAGTAATTTAAGCTCCTTTGAGTGAATATTAAGCCTGTTGTCTGTTGTTATTACACACACTCTTACAACCAACAGTTTTTGTGAATAATCTCCTACTGAATGTCTCTGGTAAGGATACCTAGAAGAGGAATTGTGGAGTTGGAGGCATCAGAAGCCACATTTACCTGTAGCTGTGTTTCAAGAGTGTTTTTTATGTGTCTCACCCAGTGATGAATATTATGATTGTTTTATCATTGTATCTGTATGATGGATGAAAAATTGATTTCACATTACTTTCATTTGTATTTACCCAACTACCTTTAACCTTGAGCATTGGCCCTTTTTTCTGTACAAGTTACCCATTCATACATACGGCTAGTTTTAACAAGTGGAAATTCATATCTTAGCCATTTGTCTATTGTATAAGATGCAAATATTTTAGCACAATCTTATTTTTGTGCCTTTAATACTAGTGAAGCACTTAATTTTCATGTCACAGAAAGATCTTCCCTTCTCCAGTGCTAACAATGTTCTCTAATTTATTCTGTTTTTTATAATGTTCTTTAGGCTTTTAAAAAGATTTTTCATGGACGATATGATTAAGAATTCTAGTTTTATTCTTTTCTATGGTTAGTAAATTTTTATAACACTCTCAACGTATTAGCCCATTTTTCTCCTACTGGGTTGAAATAGGACTGTGTCAATAGCAGAGTTTCTCAGAAATACATAGTCTTGTTTCAGGATGCTGTGTTCTGTTTTTCAATATATGTGTTTCATTCTCTCCCAATACCTTTCTGTTTAAATCAGAGTCAACAAACTTTTTCGTTGAAGGTTCAGACAGTGAATAGTCAAGGCTTTGCAGACAGCTCCTGAATGAACGAGTGTGGCACCTCATTGGTGCAATTTCAGCCAGATCCCATCTGAAACTTCCAGGCCCCCAGCCCCCTCAGCATGGGGAAATCAGGGTGGATGGTTTCTTCAGCACGGATGAGGTCTACACCTTCTTATTCATATTTATAGACATTACGTATTTGCACTCTTGATATGCTCTCATATATACAGCATGGACACTGAGCTAAGTCAAATAAGCTGGACACAGAAGTTAAATACTACATGAGCTTGCTGCCATGTAGAATCTAAAACAGTCAAACTCATGAGAGCAGAGAATAGAGAGGGCTGGGGCGGGAGTAAGGGTGGTCAGGAGCTACATAGTTTCAGTTATATGAGGAGAAGAAATTCTGCAGATACAGGGTGCAGAAGCATAGCCACAGTTAAAAAACTGGGCTTTTAAAACAGAAAGTAAGTTAGAAGTATCTTATTTTGTACTCAGAACATACACTGTTATCATGTAGGACACATAATTTCAAATATAAATGAGAAATATGTGTTATTTGGGACTGCTATAGGAATTACTTGGAGCCATCTCTAGGCCTTTTTCCTAGGAAAAAGTAAGTGATTTTAGAAAGCAAGAATTTCATCATCTTTTTTGCAGAAAGATCATAATAGGTACTGACAAAGGCAGCAAGATCTCTTGTTCGTTTCCTTTCTAACGTAACAAATTGTCCCACACTTGGTGACTTCGGACAACACTGATTTACTGTCTTCCGAGTCTGGAGCTCAGAAGGCTGCTCAGTGTCACTGAAGGTGTGGGCAGGGCTGTGCTGCTCCTGAAAGCTCGGGAGAAGATTCCTTCTCTTGCCTTTCTCAGCTTCTAGGGACGTTCTTGTCCCTTGACTCACCACTCAGGTCATTCCAACCTGTTTCCTTGTGTCTTACCTTCTATGAATCTTTGCCTCCGTCTTTACCTTATGACTGTATTGGGCCAACCCACCTCAAAATCTAAAGTTTTAGTTTATTTATCTGAAATGCAGAATGCCACAGAGAGGGAGAGAAAGAGATCTTCACTCTCCGAATGGCCCCACAACAGCCAGGGCTGGTCCAGGCTGAAACCAGGAACCAGGACCTCCATCCAGGCCTCCCACGTGGGTGCAGGGGCCCAAGGACTTGGACCATCTTCTGCTGCTTTCCCAGGCCATAGCAGAGAGCTGGATCGGAGGTTGAGCAGCTGGTACTCAAAGTGGTGTAATTATATGGGCTGCTGGCTGACTTAACCCACTGTGCCACAGCACTGACCCTGAAAAATCATACATCAGTCACACCTGGAATCCCATTGGCAAGTACACAGTCACAGTCCTGGGAAGTAAGACACAGACATTCTTGGGGGCTGCTGGTATTTGCCTGCTGTGAGGGAGGTTACCGATTTCCACACGGAGTGGCCTCTTTTCACCTGTATCTCAGCAAATTGGTATTCTGACAGCTGGACATTGCGGTTCATTAAGTGGACTGCAAATGGGTGCCATTACCATTACCACTGGTGTGTTGGAGCTGGAGTTGTTTATGGAATCTGATGGACAGATCTGCAAAATGACTAATAAACAATGAAATTAAGTTCTTATTAAGATTAAGGGGGCCATCTGACCTTGGCAGGGAAGTCGATTTAACTGCATTCCGAGTTACCAGTGCCACTAAATTAATTAGCTAAATACTTCCGTGAATTCCCTCCTTTTGTCCGCGTATTGAAGGACATAATATATAGTAAAGTCGATCGATAATGAACTTGGCTATTTTTTTTTCCTCTGAGGAATTCATTTAAAGTCACAATTCCCTAGACAAACACTACCAGCATTTCTTCCTCATCCTTCAAATCTCAGAAGTAATTGAATTTGGTAAAGAAAAGAATGCCGAGTCTCTTAAATGGGCTGCCATTATCAGGTATTTCAACCAAGGAAGAAAATGAATTTGCTCTGCCCTTTGGTTTTCATTTCCACAGCAATCTCACAGGGGTGGAAATGCAAATATGAGGACGCTTCAGAAACTTTGTGAGAAATGGCATTACAAGGAAAGTTTATTTGGGTGCAGAAAAAATGTAAAGTCAGACATATTTTTTCATAATATACGTTTTCAATAAACGTTTTGAGGTCCCCTCATAAGGAAGTCAGAATTCTAAAACATCTTGTGTCCTCAAGAAGGTATTATGTCCCACCCCTTAGCATTTCACCGTCACTGGGGAGTGGTCACCAGTGCTGAACCTGGTGGGATCTGACCTGGTCTGAGGCTGCTGTTGGTGACTGACTTTTAAAGCCTTAGGCAGACTCTTCTAGCATCATTCCAGAAAGCAGAATCCTCTTGCCTTTGTCTGTGTGCACTGGGGTGAGAGTGAAAGCCAAGTGCTTCCAAGTTGGACAGTTGATTATGCTTCTCTCTCTTTAAACGTGTACATTAATTACAAATTATATATATATATCAACTCTTTTGTGCTTTATAGAAAAAGAATGAGATGAAAGTGGTTGGTGAAGGGGAGAGAAACTCAGCCAAATCAAGCAGTTTTGCTGTAGTGTTTAGATTCCCATGGAGGTCTGGAATTTACATTTGCTGCCTTCTGTATTTGTGGTGATGGACTGATAGACAAGCAAGGAGAGGTATGAGTAGAGGCATCCTCCAGTGGTTCCAAAAAGCATTTCTGAGTATCCCCCCTCACAGCATAAATGCACTCCTCCAAGAGAACCCTGACTAGAAAGCTACTGTATGTCACCAACCTAGGGTGCACGTCTTCTCACATTTTAACATCCCAGAAATCGAGATTTGTGTTAGGGCTGATGGCATCTTACAGTTGATTGAGAACAGTTTTCTTTCATGGCAGTATGCAAGAGTATTGCAGCCTCATGTGATTGGGAAGGCGGGTTACGTTTGATGAAATACGGTATTTGTTAT